CTCGTTCTGACTCTAGCATCCTGTAAGCTTGGAGGAAGGACAAAAGGATTTGGCTTTGTTTTGCTTTTTAAGTTTTATAGTAGTAAATAAGTCCAAAGCGAACTGTCCTAGTAGAGAGGTGTACAATGTACTATTAAATCTTTCTGACTGATGCTTGCAAAACCATGCCCGTGTGGGCTTTCGACACTTTTAGGGTGAAGTCCTTCTTAGCATTTAAGAGGGATAGCGAGCGTGTTCATCCAGTGTTGAACTTGTTGCATGGAGTTTCAATGGAGGTGACTTCAGTGTAACTAAGGGGAAGAATTTAACAGTAGGGTTGAAGAGTGCTAATCAGTAAGAGGTCCCTATGCAACCAGTGCTGTTTGGAAAATGGAAGGCTGTAGATAGAAGCTGAGTGCATCATTTTATGGCCTCTAAATATAAATAAGTGGAGAGATTATATCCAAGAATTATGTATAGTAGAACAGCCTGTGAAAGAGACAGATTGTTGATGTTACAAAATGTACTTTGTCTCAGATATATCTTTGGTAGCAAGAAGAGAAGTTCTTTCCCAGTTTCACATTTATATTCTTCAGTGAGCTCTGAAGCCAGCAGATTTGGTTTCAATTATCAGTCTAGAAGTATAGAACTTTCTTTCTGTCATTTAAAAAACAAACAAACAAACATGTTAGAGTTAAGGGGGGAGTTTAAAGAAGAGCTGTAAAAAATCTTTATTTGACCACTGCATCGTAGAGTGCTGCTCTTAGCCTCTGCTAAGGCCCTTGGGGTGAACAGACCAAGCCCAAGCAAGCTCGTAGCCCACTGGAAAATGCTGTTTCCCCACATTGCTGCAACCCATGTCTTAGTACATTAACACAGTGCTGATGCTCATCTCCTGGGGATGCAATCATGTTGTTCCTCGCACCTTGTGATACCTCCCATTCCTACTCCCTGGTTGCTGATGTGCTCTTACAGTGCCGTCCCTCCCTCCTTCCCCATGGAAGTGTAGCCATCTCAGAAGATAGTCCTTCGTCCTGCAGGTTCTGTCTGCAAAGGAGTGCTATCATTTTGCAGCCACTACCGTGCACTGCTCGATCGCTATGGCTGAGATAGTGCAGCATCCCTCCCAACACGCTGATGTCTTGCTGCAGCCCTCAGGGTAACTCAGCTTGCAGAGTGGTGGAAATAAATACAGTGGCTCAGAAATAAATGACACAGCTTGTAGCAAGCATTTCTCCTGCTGCTGTCTCCTCTAATACATGGAGCTCGTGCCTCATATCTAAGCAACCCCCATCTCTTGATTTGTCATTGACAGACCATCTCTTCTGCTACCACCAATCTGGGTGTTGATACTGACAGTTCTCCACTTATCTTATTTGACCAGCTCTGTTTGCAGAGTATTGATGGTTTGAAAGAAGAAAGAGCAGCCCCACCTTTCTTATACATAACCTCCTTCCTTCCCTTGACCTTGGTCAGGGTTGAGGAGCAGGCTTGTACGACATGGCCATCCCATCAGTAGCAAGCTGTAGGGCGTTCCTGGGACGCAGTATCCTGCTGAAGCCGTGCTTCTCTGTCGGCAGTAGCTGCAGCCGGGGTTCAGGCACACTTCTAGGCAGGGGTGAGATTTAGAATGAATATGCAGTAGGATGGCAGGTAATAAATCATCTGCAAGGAAAACAAAGGGCGAACCAAGGAGTCCCAGAAGCTATATGGAGGCAATCAGTCGGTCATCAGCCCGCGGGTTATGGCCAAGGTGTTAACAGGGCAGTATATTTATTGCCTCATTATTATTTGCAGTAAGTCAATCCAGCCTTTAATTAATGCCCTTTTTCTTCCCTCAGCTGTTGGCCACAATGCTTTCTTGGAGTGTATGTTTATATAACTACATACTCTGCTCAGAAGGGAAATTCAGAAATATCTGTATGAAGCCTGCCTGGCATCCTAACGGCTGCTGTGAAAATTCGTGGTGTACGCGGCTGATAGTCAGACTTGCCAGAATACCGCCTTGTCATGTGCCTGATTGTTTTGACCACTAAATTCCTCTTTAAGATTGTGTGTGTATGTATAGACATAAATCCTACTGCCTTTCTACTCCCTACTCCTTCAGTGGCAGCTCCCATTTAAGACATTTTTGTCAGCTGTTCAGTTCCCCCTCTGCAGGAAAGTAGCTGCATGCCCTCCCATGAGATTCAGCTGATACGATGGAGGTGCTCTGAACTGAAATGATGCAGTTGTAAAAAAAATACCTCCCACCTCCCTGAAAAAAAGAAGATTCTCCATTCACCTCTATTCCTTGGTGAAGAGATAAATTGCTGTTCAATTCTGTAATCGTTCGGTTATGATGATGCTGAGGAGGCCTCTGTAATGTCATCCTTGTCCAAGGGTAGCGTCCTTCTCATAACGCTCCCTCATGGAAAAAAAAGAAAGTGCCAATTTGTCCTGAGTGTGCTGGTAAACTGAAAGCTGAATAGAAGTTACTGGGATGCTTCTGTTCTCATTGATTCTAGTGCAATTTTGTGACAAAAATTCAAAATTTGGAACAGTGATTTATGCTTTCCCAAATTCAATTTTAAGGTATTATCTCAGTTTCCTGGAGGGCACAAGAGAAAATTTGAAATGGAAAGTACCTTTACATGCATATTCCTCCAAACCAAGTGCTTTCCACTTCATTTCTGTAGAAATGCAGGAAAATATGTCTGGATCAGAACTTGTATTAATATGGCAAATTTTAGTCCAGAAAAATTAGATTTTGGAATTTAAAACTTCAGAACATCAAGGATGATTTGAGAAAGTTCTCATAACTGAGTGATGAAGGCAAAACTTTAATAAAAACGCAGGCTGGAAGAATGCTCCGTTGTGGCAGGGCTGTTGTCGCTGTTACTGTCATCCTCGGCACTGAACACCTGGTAGGGCATCAGCGGTCAGGGGAGCGGGAAGAGCCGAGGGCCCCTTTGCCCCCATCGGTGCCCCTCTGGTGAGGTAAACGTCCCCCTGAGCTCAGGATGGTCCTTGGCTGGGGCTGCTTGGAGAGGGCACTCCCATGAGAGTCAACTGAGGTCAGTGGTGCCATGTGGCGACTTCACCTATGTGTGCATGACATAATAACCCCTAACTCATTGAATCAGCTGTTTGGGTTTTTTTTTGGCGGGGGGAGAGGGATTGGGGTTGGTTTGTTTTGTTTTGTTTCAATCTAATCTCTTAAATAAGAGCATTCTTAGTGATTTGTCTTAACTGAAACTATTTCTTTTTGCCTTCCTAAACATCTCTGTATCTAACAAGCCTTTCCAAGCTTAGAGAAATGAATGTGTGCGTTACTGCTTTATTGGTAACACATCACAGCACTTCCCTATATGACACAGGGCATGTTCAGTTTTTCCCAGACAGTATCAGTCTGTCATTCTTGGAGAGGATACTGTAAGTATAATCCATCCAGGGTCGGCTGTTCCAGTTTCCGAAGTTTATTGCTAATGAGGATGCACATAGGATGTAATCACTGGCAGGAGCCTCTGCTTCGGGGTACAGTGAGGCCAGCAGACAAGCGGCCAATTTTATCTGGCTGTTCACTCTCCCTTTTATCAGAGCTGTTTGGCTGGAGTTCAGGGGTGCAAGAGGGAACTGCAGAGGCTTTGGCTTGTAGAGTTGAGTGACAAGGTGTGAGAGGACATGAGACAAAGCCTAAGAGCAGCAATATGTGTGTTGAGAGAGGCAGCTTCGCATTTCACTGCAAAAGCTGAAGTGGTTTTTTGTGTTGTTTTTTTGTTTTTTTTTTTTAAAACCACTAAGGACTACTGGCTGAACTTTGCTAAAGAGATATAGGAAGGCATCATTCCAGTAGGGCTGGTCAAAACTAGCATCCGTTTGTAATAACCCCTATAACCTTATTAATTTGCAGACACTTTGCTGCCAGTGTGACCTGGCCTGAGCAGGCTGCTGCCACAGATAAAAAGAGAAGGAAAATCACCATGTTTTAATACTAGCAGTGGTCATTTACGGCAGGTGCGGGAAATTTCCAGTGGGTTGCAAACGATTTTCAGTGTCAGAAGGCGAAAAACTATGTAGTGGCCAGGATGTGATGGCAATTCGAGACTACTCACAGCCTGCTTTACTAGATTAAGTGTTGAGTTATCTGCAACTCCCAGTGAAGTCCTTGACAGCATGTGGCACAGAGTACCCTGAGCCCCAAAGAACAGTCAAGTTATGATGTGTATTAGATGAATATTCCTTGCACTGCTTACGTGAGAGTTGCGCATTGCTGCCAGCTCTACGCAAGTGAAAAGAACGTATCTACAGCATGCCATGGGGCATGTGGCTGAGGGAGGAGATAAGTAAGCTTGAGGATGGGTTGGGTGCATGAGACGGGGTGCAGAGCCGTACTGACGAGCTGTACAGCTCCGGAGACATTGCAGCCACTGCTAGCTCAGGTGTCTGTGCTTAGAGTTGGGCTGGAAGAGGATGCATACATCAATTGACTTGTTGGATTTTGATGGTAGGTGAAAGCCAACCAACAGTCATTATAAGCTAAATTACAATTCTGTATCAGCTAGTCATTGAAGACAGGGTTTATTGTGCCTTCTATTCACCCTTTCCAAATGATGTGATAGCTCCTGTTTCCTTCAGTCCTCTGGCCTCAAGAGGACTACTGGTAAGAGGCAGTCCCTGTTGGAGCCAGGGTCAGTATTCAGATGTCGGTGGCAGAAGTGTCCACTTCACCTCATTAGGATCAAGTTGACTTTGCAATCCTGTGACCCCATATTATAGAGGCAAAGACCTTTCATGTAGCCATATGACAGTGAAGATTGCCTCAACTTCCTTCTCTTGGTTTGAAATGTTGTAATCTTCCTCTGGAAAAATTTAGCTTTGGAGCTTGCTTTTTGCAGTGGGGGTTGGTAGTACATCTCTCCAGGCTGCAGTCATGACATAGGATGTGTTCAGTCATCTTAAATCTTCTTCACCCTTTAAAGTGTCAGTTTTCAAATGTATTGAATCAACTGCGGTGTTTTTTTTCCTTTTATCCTGTGCAGTGTTTGAAAATAAAGATAAGATTGTGATCATCATGGAGTATGCAAGTAAAGGAGAGTTGTATGATTACATCAGTGAGAGGCGGCGATTGAGTGAAAGAGAGACAAGACACTTCTTTCGACAAATAGTCTCTGCTGTACATTACTGCCACAAGGTGAGCAAAGGATTTGATATTAAAAAATGCTATTTGAAGGCTGAGTAGTGACTTATGTATTTCAAAGGATGTCTGAAGCAACAGCATTCATTATTAAGTATGACAGCATGTGATTTTATCAGTACAACAGATCTTCATTAGAAGTGCTACAGTAGCTCACTGCCTGTTTTTAAAGACTAAGGATGTTTTCCTGTGTTATGGCAGATACCAGCCACTCCCTTACATTAGCCCTACATTGCATTTTTGCCTTGGAAATAGTTCTCTTGACATTAAAAACAATATAATTAACAACATAAACTAGAAGAGGCATCCCATAGAACTGCTACAACATTAATATTAATCCATTCAAACAAAGTATAATTTTCAATTTGAATATGCAAGTGAACAACTTTAGAATAGGAGACACAATATATGAAAGAAAAAAGCCAAGAGAAAGGTACGAGTGTTCATGTATGAGCTTTAGCACGTACTCATTCTGGATAGGCAAAAGTAACTTTTCTTTTGTATGTAGGAGGAGCACTGGAAAGATGCCCTTTGCTAATCACTTTATCCATCACTGTACCCACTAGAATGACAATTTAAGCAATTAAATCCAAGGTAGCTGGCTGTCATCGTGGACCTTTTATCCCTGCGTATGAACCAACTGCATAAAGCCTAAACTTGTATGAGGCTAAAGGCAACGAGCAGCTAACACAATTTTTTATTTGAATTCTTAAACACTTTAATCTCCACTTGAATTCTGATAAACAAGGGTGGTTTTCAAAGTCCTCACTGCGCTGCGCTGAAAAGCTGCAGTGCCCTACCCTGTGCAGTTATTTTTCCCAAATTTCTTAAAAGAAGGCTCTGACCTAAACCCAGCGTGTTCGCTTCCATCTCTAACATTTATAGTCCTTTAGGATTAAACTCCCCTGATCCACGTGGCTGCACATTGGAGGAATGAGGGCTTTTGTAAGGACTAACGTCATTGACAGATACTCTTTTCTGGTGCCTGGGAAGAATATATTGCTTTCACGCAGTGGGTGCAGGATCCGGGCTGGAATTAAGTTCCGAAAAGACACCCCCCACCCCCCCTGCTGTTTTAGAGGCTTTGTGGGAGGACAGATTCCAGTCATTCTTCCCCTAACCACACACCAACTGACTAATACATCGCCTGTCACTAGTCACTGGGCCATGAGTGTTATGACAGTGAAATCAGCCCTGAAATGTAGATGCAAAGACCACCCTGCCAGCTCACCTTTCATTTTCCCAATATTTTCTCATGTTATCCCCCCTCATGTTTTTTTCCTCCTTGTTTCAGAACGGTGTTGTTCACAGGGACCTGAAATTGGAAAACATCCTTCTTGATGACAATTTTAATATTAAGGTAGGATTATTTTTCTCAGCTTCTCAGAATGGATTTGCATGTTTTGTAAATTTTTTTATCCAAGGTATTAGAAGAGCCAGTGTTATGGCAACAGCTACTAAGCAACAGCATCTGGCAAGAGGTTTAGGGCTTTTGGAGTTGGGGAAAAAGCACCACTGGTGATGAGTCATACATGCTAAATGAAGCTTTGCATAATTTGGGGGAGAAGGCCCTGTCCTGCCACCCAAGGGCCACAATTCTAGTAGGAAACAGAAGAGCATTTCATGCAGTCGGGTAGTCGTGCAGTCGGGTTTATCGTACAAATGATATTATTGCTGGCTGCTGCTGGGGCTAGGAAAAAACTCTCCTGGTCTACAGGGTTCAAGTGCCTCCTACAGAACACTCTGAATGTCCTTTTGATCATGGCTGGAAAATAAGCAAATAGAGTTTCAAAATAAACCTAGTAAAGCACATGTGCTTCATTAGGAAATGGCCTTGGAACTCCAGACGCAAACGTATACTTTGGATAGTGATGTCAGTAATGTCATTTCCATGTCATTTTCCCCAGTGAAAGCATGGGAATGACCTCTTTTCCCTTCTTGATTCCCCCCGCCCCCCCCCCCAATAGTTGTAGCACAAAGATAAATAATGCAGAGATGAGTGCAGTTTCCAGGTGGCTGAACCTGTTTCATGTGCACCTTTGTTCCTCCCTTGGGTAGCTGGATGTGAGGGTGGCTGGGTGCGCTCATCTGTGGGCAAACAAATGGAAGGAGGGACACCAAAGAGTTTCTGCTGACTCCTGGGCATCCTTGCTTAATTAACAAAGTAATTGAGGAGCTCCCTGCATAGCTAAATATCTAACTAGACTGGATCTCAATTTTGTCTCCACTGAAAGCCACAGGGCTGCGTGCACTGCCTTCTGCACTTCACGCTGGAGAGATTGTCTTCATTTTAAGCTGATGTGCAATGGAAATGGAAAGTAACATATGGTAGCTGCCATCTGTGTAACGCTGATGACAGAAGTTAACTTGGATCAACTAGTGGATTAAAGGCACATAAATACGCAGTTTCTAAAAATAGGCTTTTACAGAAGGCCCATCCAATGCAATACTTGGACGTTTGCAGTTAACATCCAGCGTTACAGCGAACCTCCCCACTCCTGTTGCTACAGGGACACTGGCTGCAGCAGCCCGAGCTGTTCTCAGCAGCGCTGAAAACACAAAGTAGCCTTTCTAGGATGTTGTATACGAAACAGGCTTCCGCAGGCAGGATGACCTTTCTTTCCGCATTACGCGCCAAACTATCTTCCCAGCTAATCAGAGAATTCTTGAGAGAAAAGAGGAATTTGGGGAATTTGCTAGCTGCGGTGGCCTGGATCTCCGCACTGTGGTCCTCATATGCAAAACCAATCGCTTCCCCAAGCCTCCAGGGAGCTTTGCTTTGTCAGAAGGCTCCGCTCCCTCCCCTCTCTCCCTTACAGGAGTCTAATGGTCCTGTGGGGAGAGCAGGAGGATGGGGCAGGGACGGGTGGATTTGTATTTGCATCCAGACCATGGAGGTGACCCAGGGGCTTCAGAACCACAGATTCATTTGAGCTGCCATAGCGTGCGGCACTGCTATGGAAGAAATTCGGGTAGCTGCAACTCCCCATATCCCTTCCAATCATTTGGACATCTTTTTCTTGGAGGCTTCCTTTTCCTGAACTGCGTTGTGTTTAAGCTGCCACGTAGGTTTTTTGTGTATTTCCAGCCTTTCCTCAGTTACTTCCCTGCAAACCGTAGGGCATGCCTCTGACCGGGCAAGGCTGCCTCGGCGTGGGGAGATGGCCGCGAGCTCCCTTCTTCTCCCCGGTAACTATTTCCGCAAAGGGTTTTTATTTATGAGCAAGAGTCTATTTATTCCCAAGACCGAGCTTGGGAAGCAGTTGGTATTTCATACATCTTATTATTATTCATAGTGTTTGAATTTTGGTCACTTCAAGAGATGACTTTTTGTATTGTTTTCCTTTTTTCCCCTGCTCTCTTTTTTTACACCTCATGACTAAGATCAGCTTTGAATATTCGATGTTAAGCACGCTGCCACTATTTCTCTGATACTGAGGCTTTGAATATGTTACTGTGGTTTCTATGCTACTTGCACAGAATTCTACTTCCTACTTTTTCTTTGTTTTGCTAAACAGTAACCGTTGGCAAGGAAACACATATGGAGCTGTAAATTATTTATTAGGAGTACATGTATCAGGTCCTCATTCTGAGAAAATTTATATATGGTTTATTTAGGCAGAAAAAAAGAAATTTGCAGTTTGGGGTTTGGTATTGACTGATGGCTTCAAATACTCAGTGGAAGGCATTTTCTAGAAATGGAGTGATAGTCTTATCTGTACTTTCCCAGTATTTATATTTCATTCAGTGGATTACAAAGCACTTACAAAATTGGCAGTTTGATTTTTCTAAGGATGAGAAAATGAAAGGAATCTCTTTACGTGTCATAGTAATGTGAAGAAAAAATAAGATGTTGTAAAAATAGATCCATATATAGAAACTTAAGCAATACTTTTAGAACAGGAAATAAAGAGGACAAGTAATCCATTAGAAATTATTATCCAACCTAAAAGTGCCCCAAGCTATTTTACGGCATACTACACTAACTTGAAATCATTCTTAAATTGTAGCTAATTAAATGAAGGTCATGAAGCAGTGTATGGAGACATAATCAGCTTTTTTTTAAGAGATATGATAGTGAGTAAAAGTCTCTGGAAATGGAGTCATGTGTTGGAGTACAGCAACTAGGAAACACCAGTGTCTGAAGGCTGACAAAAAGTTACACGTTTTGAAGAGTTTTTCAGGTCCACAGGCCAGAGGTGGAGGGTGATGAGGGGAAGAAAGTGATCTGATCTGATCTGTAGTACATAATTATGTTTTTCAGGAACTTGGTGTATGTGGTAGCATTTCCTGCAAACTATTACTTAAAACCTCTACATGCAGCAAACGCAAGTGAATAAAATGAGTTTTAAACACTTCTGAGACTGAACATGCACACAGATCTATGGGGTACAAGGAGTTCATCCAGTCAGTTAATCAAACAGTACCTTGCTTTGCTCTCCAGATACACACCCACCTATCTAGCAGAAACCCCAGTGGGAATGTTTCTCCTGGGACCTCGCCTGCCTGTGGAGGTCAGCCATGGGGCACAATCCTAGAGCTAAACCTCACCAAGGCACTGCAGCCTCCCAGGGTAGGAGAATGTTATTTGCTTTCTTACCTTGTTGACGGTGCCATATTCTTTCAAGAAACAACGCAGTGATGGAATTAGGGTTTCTGCAGCATGTACACGCCTCTCCTTGCTCACATTCATGTGTGAACTGCTAACAGCACGGTTCACCTTAAAATTTACTGCGTTCTCCTTTCAGCTGCCCACAATTGCTGCCTCCTACCTTCCAGCTCTGGGTAACTCAGAGCTGCCCGCTCTGCTTGCCCCAGGTTCCCAGGGGTGGGTACAGCTGCTCCCCCTCCGCGCAGTGGCAGAGCAGCCTCTCGCCGGCATTTTCATGCCACCGAGAGGATATCATCGTTCATAATCCTAACAGAGCTGGAGGTGGGCAGGGTCAGGCAGGCAGCAGGGCTAAGGCAGCCCCAAAGCACCGGAAGAGTTGGTGAGTTGGAAAGGGAAGAGATTGGCACCGGCTTTAGTGTGACCTTTGATGGTCTTCAAAAAAAGCCTTCTGGTGGTGTCATCTTTTCTTCATTAGTTTTAAAAGGACTGAGGATGCTAATTTTTTGTTCATTGTAAGAAATAGCAGCAGGCGAGGGTGTAGCTGCCTACGTTTGCCCATAGCTCCTGCAGTTTGGCCTGATGAGGACCACATGTCTTCAAGCACTGCAGCTCTCCTCAGTGCCTAAATCCCCAAAACTGCATGCAGGGAGTTGGAAAGAAACTGCTGCCCAGTGTGGCAGCCAGGGAATTAGTGCCTCTTGCTGGTCTGTCCAGATATTGTGTCCCTGTCCTGTGCCACTGCCTACCCCCAGGGACAATTCTGTCACGCAGCCTGGCACGATGGAGGGGGCCTCCTTGCTCAGAGTGGGGCTGTGGTGGCTCCTGGGCTGGGAATCGCACCTAAAAGAGATGTCTAGCAGAAGTTGACGTAAACTGTATGATCAACCCCAAAGTGATAAAAGGAGAGAAAAATGCAAGTATAATAGTAACATAATCCTACTAACTGCTCTTTCTCTTGGGCTGGTAAGGGGACACCAATGAGACTAACCACTAAAAACCCATGAGGGTTTCATATAGACGGAGTAAAGTATATGTAATTGGGATTTACCTTGCTGGAAGTCAGACCCAGTGCACGTATGTTTAATTTGCTTTAAGAGACCTAATTATTTCTCTATCTACAGTACAAAGAGACAGATTTTTAAGTGGGATAAAACTGACAATTTCCATGAGTGTGAACTTCGTGGAATTTATAGTCCACACTTAAACAATAAATTACATCTGGTTTATCATAGCTAACAGTAAATATGAAACATACACCTCCTGAAGCAAGGCGAATAAAAGTCCACTTCCCTGCTCCTCCCAATTTAGGAAGTTTTTTTGACTTGATGCCTTATTTCCATTTAAGTGCCAAAAACATGAAGTAATGTTGGCTTCTATTAATCTTGTTTTGGGGGGCATGACAGTTTTAATGGTAAAAGCTGATAAACATCAGTCTGCGAGTATGGGAGTGGACTGTAACATAAATACTCTTTTCCTGAATGGTCAAAATTAAAACATGAATGCCCAAGTCTGAGAGTTTCTTAGTGTGAACAATGGTATGTGTATCCCTATATATATATTCATGCACATCCACATGCATTTTATACATTCCATGGTGTTAAGGGAATGTATTTTCTTAAGGAATCATACTGTGCAGTGTTTGCCCTTGTCTTAGCTGCATCCTGAACTAGAATAAAACTCAATGACCAGCACAAAGTTTTAACACTGAAATGATCCCATTCTTCCCCTGATTGACAGGGCACACTTCATAAGGCTTAAAACCAACTTCCTGCGAGCCAGGCAGGGTGACTTGATAAGAAAGTGGAATTTAGGGCAATTAAGTGCAATCTGAGCCATGAGAATATGTTTGCAGACTGCAGTTGTACACCAGCTGTTTTCAATGACATTCCAGCCATACAATGAAGATTTTACAAACCACATTTATTTAAGGGTTGAATTTTCTGCTGTGGGTTGATACTATGCTGTTTGGGGGACTGAGTGAATTCAAATGATGAATGGACATGGTGAGATGAATTAACATTAATGAACAGGAATCCGCTGCTCTTTGAGCAGGATATTATGAGTCCAAATTGTCAGTGGAACACCTGCACAAGCAGAACATCAAAATAGGAGAGAGTGAAGCATGAAATCTCATATTTGTGCTGTGATTTTAAAATTTTTGTGAAAATGATATTTTAAAAAACAAGTTTATATTTTTAACATAAAAGTATCTATATCTATGTCTATGTCTATTTATAGATTAAGTGTGTGTATATAGATTTCTGTTTTGGGGTAAAGAAAGAAGATCGGGAACTTCTGTCCATACTTCACCAACTTTGTTCATTTTGGTCTCAACTGTGACATGTTTAGGAGTTTGGATAGTAGAGACAAAGACTTTATGCCTCCCAAGTGTTCACTAGACATTGCAATTAAACAGCTATTAGCAGCACTGCTGATACACGTTTTAGAAAGCAAGGAGTGAATGATGCTGCTGGTAAATCCTTTTCTTTTCCATTCATTGTGTGCTTTCTTGAATTTTCTCTTGTAAAAATTCCTGGGATTTAATTTCTTTCTGGTAGAAAAGACCTGAATAAGGTGAGGAAAACCCAGAGAAAACGCCTGTCTCTTATAGCTATGAATTGATAATACCTTTTTTATGCCTGTGCTTAATGTCTTTCATGTACGCCTTATGTCGATAGTGGGCAGTAATAAAAGTATCTCTGGGAAACAGAAACACTTGGGTTTTAAACAAGATAAAAAATGAGATGTGTTGCCTTGTGCTAGAGAAACAAAGGAAATGCAAAGGTTGTGGGAGCATTTAGTGTTGCTATCCTCAGCCTTTGTTTTGTAAGAACAAGAACAGAGAATTGAAGTAAACAAAATATTTGGACCTGATCCTGCAATTCCTACATGGGCAAAATTCCCAACAGTCTCAAGGGAAGTTTTGTTTGTGTTGGGAAAGCCGGATTTGGGCCCATTGTTTCCAGTTAGGAACCAGACTTGTGTTTATTATCTCGTGATAGACATCTTATGTACTTAACAGCTCGGATTCCTCAGCCGGAGTCCCTGAATCTGGAAGAGTTAGCAAGTGCCTCACTTTCCCCCTCCTTCAAGCATATTTAAGTTCCACATGATTTAAAAAAATCACTTTCTTCTATAATGCTTAGTTTCCTGTGACACTCCTGCCTCACTCCTCCTGTTGGATTTAAAGGTCTTGGCTTTCGTCTTGCATGTGCACGATAAGAATGGTAGTACTTTCTGCTTGCTTTCCTTTGGTATTAAAGATTATACAAGATGAAGAGCAATCAGTGGACAGCAGGCACAGTGCCTCCCAGTATGAGATTGTCTTTGCAAGCATATGTAATTCATCCAGGATAAAATTACTGACTGATAGTTGTGCAGTCAGTCAATGACCTCTCTGTGAATGGAATCTAATGGAAAGCATCCTAGTCTGGAGGATTTAACCTGGGGAGCATTCTCCTTTTCTGGAGGGTCTTTACAGAGAAAAGTAAAAAAATCATAGAATAATGGGTTGGCAAGGTGTGTAATTGTTTTGGCTGGGATCGAGTTAATTTTCTTACTAGCAGCTGGTATAGTGCTGTGTTTGGGATTTAGGATGAGAATAATGTTGGTAACACACTGATGTTTTTAGCTGTTGCCAAGCAGTCAAGGACATTTCAGCTTCTCATACTGCCCTGCCAATGAGAAGGCGGGGGGTGCCCAAGAAGCTGGGAGGGGACACAGCCAGGACAGCTGACCCAAACTGGCCAAAGGGATATTCCATACCATATGATGTCATGCTCATATGCCTTGAGGGTTGGCCAGGAGGCAGTGCAGCTCAGGAACTAGCTGAGTGTTGGTTCTGGGTGGTGAGCAATTGTGCTGTGCATCACTTGTTTTGTATATTCTTCTTTTTCTTCATTGTCTTCTTCTTCCTCCTCCTCTTCTTCTTCTTCTTCTATCATCATCATCATCATCATCATCATCATCATCATCTCCCTTTTCTGTCCTATTAAACTGTCTTTATCTCAACCTTTTATTTTTTTGATCCTTTCCCTCATCCCACTGTGGGGGTCAGTGAGCAAACGGCTGTGTGGTTGTTTTAGCTGCCTGCCGGGTTAAGCTGCAACACAAGGGAACTTCAGAGATTATCCACGTTGAGATCCCTGCCCTACAGCAAGATCAGATATAGCTAAATCTTCCCTGATTAAGGATTTTCTGTTGCATTAAGATATTGTTAATACTACAGATGCCTTGTGCAATTCTATTTGCAGATTGCTGATTTTGGACTCTCCAACCTTTATCACAAAGACAAGTTTCTGCAGACCTTTTGTGGAAGCCCACTGTATGCTTCCCCTGAAATAGTTAATGGACGACCTTACAGAGGCCCAGAGGTAAGAAGGGTCAGCTTTTCAGTGGTGGTATGGGGATGTCTTTGATGATAATGTTCTTGAGGGTTGCTCTTAATGCTAGTGTTATTGAACATGTGGGTTTGCTTGGGTCTCTCCCATACTGAAAGTTCTCGAGCTGCCTTCATTTGCTTTTGTTTGCTTTGCCTGTGGTTACTCAGATGTTAGATACTGGTTTTCCCATCAGTAGGCACAGCTGGATGTGATGCAGCTCTTGCGGTGCTAATGGCAGGGAGAAGGGTGGGGATCAGCTTTACTGGGCTTTTCATGCATTGTCTCTGTATTTCAGGTTGACAGCTGGGCCCTTGGTGTATTGCTTTACACTCTGGTTTATGGAACGATGCCCTTTGATGGCTTCGATCACAAAAATCTCATCAGGCAGATCAGCAGTGGAGAATATCGTGAGCCAACACAGACCTCAGGTATAAAAAAGGAGTGAGGGCAATGTATTGAGCTGACAGGAGTTCAGAATGGAGGGTTTGCACGGCTCCTTACAACATGTTTTGGTGTCATATTAGAATGATGAAGAAAAAAAAAATCTCATTCCCCTACTGACTTCATCTGCTCTCAGTTCCCAGCTGGGTACAGCATTTACCAAAAGCTCTTTTGAAATGAAAGTTTTATAGCAGATAGATTTTATTGCCTTGGGGAAGCTGTAACGGGCTTTTTTAACTACATCTATGACAGTGGAAGGTCTGTTAGCTATTGCAAGTGGAATTGTTCAGACAAGCTGTAAACCAATACAACATAGTGGTACAGATAAGTCCTCTAACTACACTGTGGTGTATCACAAGCAGAGAGAAGATGAATGGTTAGAGCAACGCAGTTTCTTATCCAAGAAGGCAGGCCAAAATCTGAATTAATGCCACTATGTTCTCATTTACTTCTACTTAGAGGAAAACATGTTAAGCAGTCACCTGACAGAAAAGCATCAACTAAGTCCAACTTATTGATTATAACTACTCCTTCCAGCCTTAAACATCAATGTATATATTATATTTAAATGAGTATTTATCTTGTATCATTTGTTTGCCATCTCTTTCAATTTTCTGCCTTCTTGCTCTCTTTATGAAAATATACCTTTAAAATATACAGAAGGCTACTGTTAATGGAAAAAGTAAATAAAAAGTAATAATGTGTAGATCATTTAAAACATCCCAATTCCCCTTTGTTTTCCTGTAAGTTTTGTAATTATTGGAGTTGATAGGTTGGTAACTTCCTTTAGTAACATGGAACTATTTACTGACTAATATGGTACAAATATTAATTTATTTGATAACCCAGTGTACATTTCCCAGGGTGAATCGTACTCTTCTGATAAGAAGTAGTTCTGAAATGCATTTTCCAACATTGACTGATGGCCAAAGCATTGCCCCCTTTCACTTCTTCTGTACTAAGAAGCAGCATTTTTGCTCATCTGATTAACTTCACACTTCCATTTTAAACTAGGAAAACCAAGAGTACCCGTATTCTAAATACTTTATATTCCATTCTTTGTCTATAGATGCTCGTGGTCTTATCAGATGGATGCTGATGGTGAACCCTGAACGCCGAGCAACCATTGAAGACATCGCCAACCACTGGTGGGTTAACTGGGGCTACAAGAGTAGTGTTTGTGACTGTGATGCCATGAAGGACTCTGAGTCCCCATTGCTGGCAAGGTTCATTGATTGGCATCACCGATCTACTGGCCTCCAACCAGAGACTGATACCAAAATGAAGTGCCTTTCTAAGCCCAAAGGTCCTGAAGTCACACTAGAGAGACAAAGGTCTCTGAAAAAATCAAAAAAGGAAAATGACATTGCACAGTCCATCCAGGAAGGAGGAGCTGAAAATGCATCCAAACCCACCTCCAAGAGACCCAAAGGCATCCTGAAGAAAAGGAGCAACAGTGAACATCGATCTCACAGTGCAGGTTTCATTGAAGGAGTGGTCAGCCCAGTGTTACCCTCTGCTTTTAAGCTAGAGCAAGAGTTGTGTAGGACTGGCGTAGCCATTAAAAGTGTTGTGGAGGGAGAGGTAGCAGGCAAATATGGCACTAAGCAGTCTTCACTAATGCCAAAAAAAGGAATCCTAAAGAAGACTCAGCAGAGGGAGTCTGGCTATTACTCATCTCCAGAACGAAGCGAATCTTCTGAACTCTTGGACAATAATGATGAGACAGTAAACAGTGACACTTCTCCAGGGGTCACAGAGCCATCCAGAAATGGGTCTTACAGCCATTCCTGCAGGCGTAAGGGCATCTTGAAATATAACAGCAAGTATTCTACCAGCAGCACTGAATCTGCTTTGATTAGCCCTGACACACCAACGCTGGAGGCCATGGAAGAAGTGGTCCTGCCAGGGGATGCATTACCTCGAAGTTACAGTCGCCCTTCCAGCGTGATTAGTGATGACAGTATTTTGTCCAGTGACTCCTTTGATTTACTGGATTTGCAAGAAAACAGGCCAAACAGACAGACGATTCGGAGCTGTGTCTCTGCTGAAAATTTCCTCCAGATCCAAGACTTCGAAGGACTTCAGAACCGCCCACGGCCACAATATCTAAAACGTTATCGCAACCGTCTGGGGGACAGCAGTTTTTCCCTTCTCACAGACATGGATGATGTGACTCAGGTCTACAAGAAAGCCCTAGAGATCTGCAACAAGCTCAACTAGCAGAGGGAAGATGGAAAGGGAGGGAAGGGAGTTGTTCTGTGTACCTTTATGATGGAGTAAGCCAGGTCACTGATTTGCTGACAATGGTAGGTTTTGCTTCAAAAGACCAGATTATACCTATGTAGCTGAACTCCTAGTAAAGTAGCCCCAAAGCCATCTCACACTTCTCTAATTTTGCCTCCTCAAAATATTACCTACCTGACCAGAGAAAAACCTTTGGCCTTTGTATTTGTGATGAAAGCATATCAAGATCTAGCAGACAAAAGCATCAAGATTTAATGGCTGAGAGTCAAAGCTAGACAGAATTAAAACTGGAAGTGAGTGACACACATTTTGAGAGGTTTGTAATTCATATTAGATTATCAAGAGATGAGCTGAATTCTTCAAGTCAATTTTGGATGTCTTTCCTTTAGAAAGAGAACCTTTATTTTCCCCTGAATTATTCATCTGGATACAGGCATTGCACATTGGGAATCTTTGGGCTGTATTGTACAGGAGGCCAGGCTAGGTGGTCACCATGGTCTCTTCCACTGAGGTCACCCGAGAGGTTCTGAAGGCATTCTGGGACAGATAATTTGAGGGACTCACCCCAGAATAACCTCACATGGTATATATGGACAAGTGGTGGAGCAGGCATTCAGATCTGGCCCCTCTCATAGCCACTGCTCTTCAGTGAGCAGGAGGCCCTAAAATTGTTTCCAACTACTGCTCATACCAGCAAAAACAGAGTCACAGAAACAATAAAGGGAACTGGAAGCAATGGATGTTAGCAGCAGCTTAATGACCTTTTAAGGCATTTCAACCCATGTGTTCAATTTGTGACTCTTTCAAAATGGCCAGCCAGATGAATGCCCAGGCAAAGATGGATCTAAAAAAGGGTCTCAAGGGTTAACTGACCCTCCCATCTAGGGTTCTGTCGCTGTCAGCAAATGGTGCCACCTTGCTGTTAGCTTGTAGTATTTGAGGGTGACAGGTAGTTTGTGACCAGAATGTTAGGTAAGGAAAAGGTTGTAGCACGTAGGAAATGGGTAGAGGTCAGAAAGTTAGTGGGAAGATGCCTTTCTCCAAATGAAAATGTTTCTAGGTAGGTAGTAATGGAGCAGAAAGAATTGAGCGATGAAATGATAACAGTAGATTTGATAACAGAGTTAGCATAAAATTGCAGTCCTCTCTCTATATAGTGTAGCTGGTATTGCGTGTGCAACTGATACCAGTTTGAAAAAAAAACAAACGAGAAGGATGTGTGTTTGTGTTCTCAGACATACCTAACTATCCAGACTGAAGGCTTCAACTCCCATAAAGGTACCACATGGGTCTACTGGATTACCTGAATGTAAGCCTATGTCAGAAAGGCACTGTGTGTTTGACAGGCCTGGGCAAACTGGAATCTTAAGGCCCATTTCAGTCTCATTTCCATGAGCACATAGCCCTGGCTTTCTTGAGGTGCACTGGTGTGAATAAGCGGCAGGTTTCAGCCTATGATGTCAAATGATCCACAGCTGCAAAACTTGACATCTACATGCATACCCAGAGCAGAAGAGCATGGGGCAAGCTCTGTTCTCACTCCTACCCTGAAACTGGAACTGAAAGCAGAATTTGGCCCACTGTGTCCCAAATCCTAGAGATCGTGTGGAACCGGATCCCTGGGAATTGGGGATAACCTCATAAATCGTTGGCGTCTGGGGCAGGGAGCTATTTCACTTGCAGATTCCTTATTTGGTCTATCATGGTACTTAAGTCTGCTGGTTCCTCCTAAAAATCAACTGGGCTGCCTAGCATAAAGATGGATGAGCTTGAATTTCCTAAATCAGTTAATCTGCCTCTATGGAGAACCTTTACTTATTGTGAAACACTGGACCAAATTTGGCCCTGGAGTAAACGGCATCAGTACCATGAAATCGATGAGAGACGTGCTCTCAGGCAGTCAAGTGAAATTTGGCTCACTGTCCATTTGCTCAGGAAGGGCAACTGCACGTCGTTCCTTTACAGATGTGTACCTCTCTGTATGATATTCAGACGTTCCATCTTCTCACGGGCCCTGCCAAATCAACACCCCATTTTGCAATGTGTTAACAAGTTTGCTGTGGTGCATTTTAGAACAACTTGACATAGGCTCCATGGCCCTTCTGAAACAAGGATGAGCTTTGCAGCCACGGCTTTTAACTCGTGCCCCGTGGCCTAAGAACCAGATCCTCAGCTGGTGTAAACCAGCGCTGCCCCGTTGGCATGATGGAGCATCACTTTGGTGGGGTTACGCTGATTGACACCTTCCCTGCAGATCTGGCGCTGAACCTTGAGTGGATTTATAGAGGTTTCAGGACAAAGGGAGGGGAACTCAGCTGGCTGTGGCAGGGAAGTGAGGAGCACCCCGAAGGCTCGTATCTCCCGAGGCTTTTGCCCAGGCCTGCTTCTTTGTGTACAAATGTGAATGAGTGAGTGACTGCTTGCTGCCAAACTGGAAATACTATGTAGGGATTTACTGGCATGTTACTGGCATGTTACATGTTTACCGGCATGTTATCATTCCTAGAAGAGAAGAAAAAAAAAAAAAACTTGACTGCACATTGTTATTACTAGTGTTGTGATTTTTATTTAATTTTTTGTAATACAAAGTTGACTTTTTTATTTGAATTTGTCTTTTTTTTTTATTTATTGGTCTGAAAGCCATTTCAAAGGTATAATAATATATTTGGTGTAATTTAATTGGTGCAACATTATTTTACAGCTCCGGCCAAAATTGTTTGGTGTTATTTTTTGTTTTTTCTCCCAATCCTTGGTTGGTTTGAGCTCTACAAGGCATACAGGGGAAAACGCTGGATAATCACCCAAAGTGTTTGTATTTTTAATCTGATACTGTTTTTTATTAAATAAAATGGAATTAATGTAACTGTGAAGAGTCTCTCTCCCATTTCTTTTTCACTGTATATCAGCATTAGCCGAAGCCAAATGGTAATGAACTTGTCATGCAGAAATACAGCAGCATCTCAGCACATCGTACCAAGTTGTTTATGCAAAGCTTCTTGGCTTGTTTGTGCATTTGAATATAATGTGGGTGGCCACAGAGACTCCCGTGCTACGAAGCATTTGGCACTGCAGAACACCCGGAGCTTTCAGCTATAGAAATGTTTGGTGGAGAAGAACAGCTGACTGGGGTTTCTCTGCTGGAGGTGAATGAGGTTTGTGGGCCAGCTGTGCTGCAGGTGAGATGGAACAGGCTGGCTGACCAGACACAGCACAACTCATCTGTAGCCCAGATCACAGTCCTTGCCCCTCTCTGATGGGGAGAAGGACAGTTTATTAACAATTCTAATGTTCCTGTTGGTACAATTTAGGGGTTGTTTGGCCAAAAAAGACTGGTGGCCATCCGCTGCTGTTGAAGGTGGGATGGTTTCAGTCAGATGGCTCTGAGCAGTCAGCGTAATCAGCTGGTGAGAGGGAAAAAGGGAGCCACTTTGCATTTATTGGAATCCCTTTGATAACCAGAAGATTTTAGATTGTTTTTCTTGGAAAGCGGGTGCACATCATAAGGGAAACTGGGTGTTAGGTGTGCTGTGTGTGCTGGGCACTTGTTAAAATAAAGGAAATGGTTGGCAATGTCCTAACGTTGGCACTGAGCAAGACACCATTAAACTTCCCCGTTGGTGCAGCCAGCCAAGATACCTGTGGTGTATATTCTGCTTTTTAAATTACAGGTGGTTTGGATCAGGATCCAAGGTTTGGATATCATGCAAAAAGGGCTTTCATTTTTCTAATTCATTTTCTCTCTCTTGAGCTTTTTAAAGCAAGAAGCCATGGCTGTTGGTGCTAGATTTATTCATCATTACCACTTAACAGTTGGTGGGAATAAAGGGAAAAAGCCAATGATGCAGAAAGGCAAACAGCCGTTAATACATTATAAAGGGAATGATTAGCTGCTGTATGCTAATAGAGTCAGAAATTGTAAGGTATATATTCAAAGTCAGTACACATGTTCTTGTACCTGAGGTGAATAAGGTCTAACTGTGTGGGTGCTGAGTGGTGGAAAATGTAATGCAAGTCTCTTCTGCAATAGCAATTATGAAACTACTTTTTTTTTTTTTTTTTTAACACACCAGGAAAAAAATGAAATTGAGGGCAAACTCTTTTATTTTAAAAATAATGGCTTCTAGAAAGAAAGTTCTGGATGGCTGGGTATGGTGCATGTATGCGGCAAGCACTGAGAAGTAATTACGTACATGTTTGTACAGCTCTGAAAGCACACACTCCCGGGGTGGGGAGGTGGGTGTCTAATTTTCCTATTTATTAAAGAAGATACATGTACAGTGATATGCCTTAGCTGAAGTTACATAGTAAGTCTGTAGCCAGACCTGGTCTTCCTTTATGCTTGCTCCACAGGGATACCAGTGTTTCTCAGGAACTGTTGAATTTTAATGGATTGGGAAAGACAGGAGCAAGGAAGCAAGACAGGAGCCTTGGGAGCTACACAGTTGAGTGACAAATAGTCTTGTCCATTATAACCCTTTTTTCACAGATTCACAGATTGGTAGGGGTTGGAAAGGACCTCTGGAGATCATCTAGGCCAACCCCCCTGCGAAAGCACGATCACCCAGAGCAGGTTGCACAGGATCGCATCCAGGCGGGTTTTGAATATCTCCAGAGAAGGAGACTCCACAACCTCTCTGGGCAGCCTCTTCCAGTGCTCGGTCACCCTCACAGTGAAGAAGTTTTTCCTCATGTTCAGATGGAACTTCCTGTGTTCCACTTTGTGCCCATTGCCCCTTGTCCTGTCACTGGGCACCACTGAAACAACTCTGGCCCCATCCTCTTGACACCCGCCCTTTAGACATTTAGAAGCGTTGATGAGATCCCCTCTCAGTCTTCTCTTCTCCAGGCTAAACAGACCCAGCTCTCTCAGCCTTTCCTCGTTGATACCTTTGCCTCTAAAAGTTGATAATCTCAATTCTTGATCCTGCAAAGCCTGTGCATGTGTATAACGTGATTGTGTTGGGGATCCCACTCCT